TAGTCTTTAATGCCAGCTGTTCGCTTACTAATTTCCCTGCATTGTGACCATTTCTCACCAAGTTGTTAATTGCCACCTGCTCGGATAAACAACAAACGACAACAAAACAAGTTAACAGAACTTCAGATGATCCTGGTACACAGTCAATCACAAATAAAATACAGGTAATTTGGAAAGGTGTTTCCTGATCATTACTTTACAATGTTCAGACTCTTACTGTGTTACTAGGGAAATGGAACACCTCAGTCAGTCCATGAATACAGAGAAAAATGCAGCAGGACTGGAATAAGCTATGTATCAGGGGTCTCCAACCTTGGCAAAATTAAGATTTGTGGATTTCAACTCCCAGAATTCCTAGCCAGTCATGCTGGCTGGGGAATTCTGGGCGTTGAAGTTCACAAGTCTTAAAGTTGCCAAGACTGGACACCCCTGATACATATGGTTCCTTATATACTGCTGGTATGCAAATCCCATCAACCCTGACTATTGGCCAGGCTGAAGAATGATGGGAACTATGGTCCAATAATATCTGCCTAGCTCTGAGTTGGCAGTCAATATTTATTGAGAAAAGACACTGCATGGCTGAATAAGAAACCTTATTTCTTCATCACTTCCAGGTTTTGTCTCAGAAAAGGAAGTCAGAAAGGAAGTCAGTCTATCTGCAAACTTTTTGTTCTGTTCTGCATTCATTTTAATTAACACATAAACACAACGCATACAAACACTGAAATGCAAAATCTTATTTCCTCAAGGAACTATACCATTTAGAAGTGGCCATAAAATATTTCAAAAACAAAGAGCTCCAACCAGTGGTAGGTTTTAAAATTTTTGTACTGCTGGTTCTGTGAGCGTGGCTTGGTGGGTGTGGTTGGAGGGCATGGCAGGGGAAGGATATACTGCAAAATCCCCATTCCCTCCCCACCCCACTAACCTGCTTTCCAGCTCCGTTCTCCTGTGCAGGGCAACCAAAGAAGACCCAGCCGATCACCTGGGACTCAATGGGAGGCAGAGAAGAGATGGGGGCGGGGCCAGTCAGAGGTATATTTGCCGGTTCTCCAAACTACTCAAAATTTCCGCAACTGGTTGTTCAGAACTGGTCAGAATCTGCTGAATATACCACCTCTGCCTCCAACCCAAAACAGGGTGAAATGCTTTGAATCTGCAGCTAGTGTCAAAAGGGCAGGAAACTCCAAATTCTTTTGCACCTGGCTCATACATTGTACTAAGCCTTAAAGAAATGTGTTTACTTTGGGCTTTGCATATGGTGTGAGCTCACCCAGAGCATTTCATAAATCAGACTTCAAGACTCAGCAAATTAAAGTGTATTTAGTTAACTTGAGTGAATCATGGCTTAGCTTATTGTGTATATCCTGTCTGGAAATCTATTGGAAAACCCCCTTCTCCCTTTTGTCCAGAAGGAAAAAAGGACTTGGGTTCCAACCCTCCAGTAAAGCAACTCATTGAAATGCAGAACAATCTAGGTTCTTTTTCCTCTTTCAACTTTTGTTGTTGTTGATCTACGGCTGTATCTTTTAATAAATTAAAATCAATCTCTTCCATCTCCTCACAAGGACAGGGGGGGAAAAAAATCCTGCAGAGGCCAGACAGTGTTTGCAACACTGGACAGGGGTCAGAATTAGCAGGAGCAAACTTCCTGCGTGGTTGAAGAGAAAGAATTGCACAACTCCATTTCAAAGGGAAGACTGCAGGAGTAGAACAGTGTTCTAGAAACATTACCTGCAATACCGGATCATCTAGTTGGGTAACTCTTCTAGAACAGGACAGAAACACCCTATATTTGTTTCTTTTCAACCCACACAGCCTTCTCTCTCCCTTCGGCTCACCACCATTTCCTGTCCACAATAAAAACAGTCCTTGTTTTTGATGCCACGTCTGACTGATTCAATGACATTCCCGGGGCTCAAAGGCATGCATGCTATTTCAAGTCTCTGTTAGAAATATATGTGTGATTAAGTACAAGTGCTAATGACTGAGCCAATGGCAAAAGGCCAACAGACAATTGATCGGGCTGATTTTCGCAGAAAATGAATGAGCATTGGCAAACAAATGGAAGAAAAAAAAATGTAAAGTATTACTTGTGAAAACACTGGCATTGTATGTCCCAGAAAGAACTCCTGAGTTTTTTTTAAAAAAACTTATCATCTTAAATCTTGCAAAGATAACTTAACCCTCTCCCCAAATCAGTGACAGATAAGAAAGCACTCCAGAGGGTTAATGTCATTGCCAAGAAGACCATTGGTTGCCCTCTCTCCTCTTTGGAAGAGCTTTAGAGCTCCCACTGCCTTAAGAAAGTTCAAAACATTCTCAAAGATCCATCTCATCTTGGGAACCCTTTTTTTTTTAACTATTACCATCTGACAGATGGTACAGGAGAATAAAAACAAGGACAAATAGGCTGAAAAACAGCTTCTATCCCAGGGCAGTAGCTCTGTTGAATTCTATTGCATAGTGCAGTATTGGTGTGGTGTCGGGGTTTTCTGGTTCAATGTGTGGAGTGTGAAGGATGTGTGTTTGTATTTATTTTCATGGTCATGATGTGCACTGAAGATGGTGTTTGATTTCGTTGTACGAGGTGCAATAAACTAAACGAAACTAGTCTCATAAAATACTCAAAAGGACTAGCAGTTTAGTTTATTGTCTACTGATTAGACAAAAATCCCTGTCATTTCTAGGAGTCTGGAAGAGGGAAATTTTCAGCCTTGACCGAGACTACTCACTTCATCTGTTTAAAAAAAATATATTCAGCTTTTCCCCAAAGTAGGACATTTTTTTTACTGCTCCATCCACTTTAGATTTAGATTTGAAAAACAAACTCACCTGACATTTTGTTTAAAATTCTGATCCTGTAGATGAATCCCGGTGAACTGAGTTTTCAAACGGTGAGAAAGTTTTCTCAGCGGGGCAGTAAATCCCCGAAGGCAGAGATTTATAACAGAATTTTTGACAGCATCCTTAACTATGGAAGTGGCAGGAGGAGCTGCTAATCACATTAAGTTAAGATTATGGATGGCAAGGAAGACTTTTGAAACCTGGCTAGCCGTGGCTTTCCTTAATTTATAGTGTTCTTGTCCAGGCGAAAATCAAATTTCATAGTTGTGACATTTCTATCCACAGTGCTAAATGTTAACTCTGCTGAGCAGGCACCTTTGAGAGACAGGTGGTGGTTGGGATACTGCAGAGAGGGGATGGAGATGGACAGCTTTGTTCTGGATGGTGAATATGATGGATTGGGTAGAGGACAACATCGTTTCATTCAAAGAGTTTCAGGGAGCCAAGATCTTCTGGTGGTGGCAGAGAAGCAGCTCGGCTGAAAGCTTTACAAAAAAAAAAAAAAAGGCTCTGAAAGATACATGGCTGAATGAAGATATTCATGGAAATGTTCTGCCCGAGTGCCATCAGACAAAGCTCTGATGCTCTGGTATAGCCTGGGAAAATGCTTGGCTTGCATTCCTTTACTGCTGGTCTCAGGGACTGTCATTTTCACGTCCCAAAGTGGCTGGATCAGCCTCTTCCCCAATGTGAGCGCCTGGAATTCTCAGCAATGAGGGAATGGTTGAGGGGAATTGAAGATCGCGATCCTGGAGACATCCAGGCCAGGAGAGCTGGGAAGGAAGACTCAGGGCATGATAGAACCAATAGGTCATGAGGGTCAACAGGGTCCCATGAAGTCCAGAAGGCAGCTGCCCTGCAGAACAACTCTCTCCCTGAGAGTCCATACAACCCCAAATGTGTTGTCCTTCCAGAGAGGTTAAAACACCTTCCCACAGGCAGTGTTGTGTGATATTAAGTAACTCCCTACTTCGTTGAGTTGAGTTCTCTGTTGTTTAGGCTGTGGTTTCCTCTTGAATTGTTATCTAGTGCCAATTTAGTGCTAACTGCTAGTTAACTAGTTTCTTGTGTACATACTTGTAGTCTTAGCACAACTGGGGTCCAGCCACCTGGGTCTTGTGGTCTTAGCACAACTGGGGCCCAGACACCTGGGTCTTGTAGTCTTAGCGCAACTGGGGCCCAGCCACCTGGGTCTTGTAGTCTTAGCACAACTGGGGCCCAGACATCCTTACATCTTGTAGTCTTAGCACAACTTCATCTGTGATCTGAATTTTCCATCAAAATTTGTTGTTTGATCTGAACGTTCAGCTTCTGGGGCAAACATTTTGGGGACCAGGCACCTGGGTCTTGTAGTCTTAGCACAACTGCAGAATGTGATGCTTAGAACGAAAATCCAATTAAAATAAATAATTAAAACCCAATTAAAACAATAATTTAAACACTTGAGCAATAAATCTTCTTTACTGGACCTTAATGTTCCAGTTGTGGAACATGTGTGGTCGTGTTTCTTCACGCCTGGCATTAATCTCATTAAATTGATGTTAGATAGGAGTTAACAGAATTCAATAGGGGCTGCATTTGGACTGCTTGAAGGAACATAATGACTCCGAACTGCTTCCTCTCTTGACTCCACCCTTCAGCTCTGCCTCTTCTTTTCTTACAGTATACAAACATCTCCCCAGCTGGTTTTCTGAATACAGGAAGAAACATGCGTAATGAAATGTTACTTCCTGCTGAAATGACCTAACGTAACACTATGGGACGCGGTGGCTCAGTGGCTAAGACGCTAAGTTTGATGATCAGAAAGGTCGGCAGTTTGGCGGTTCAAATCCCTAGCGCCGCATGACGGACTGAGTTCCTGTTACTTGTCCCAGCTTCTGCCAATCTAGCAGTTTGAAAGCATGTAAAAAAAAATGCAAAAATAGGGATCACTTTGGTGGGAAGGTAACAGCGTTCTGTGCACCTTCAGCATTTAAGTCATGCCGGCCACATGACCACGGAGACGTCTCCAGACAGCGCTGGCTCTTCGGCTTTGTAATGGAGATGAGTACCCCCCCTGGAGCCAGAAATGACTAGCACGTATGTGCAAGGGGAACCTTTATCTTTACCTGTAACCCAACACTGAGAGAGCGCTAAGTTCAGAGTCTTACCTTTATTACTGATGCTCCGGCTCTTGAAAGTGGACTATGCATCTGTGCTGCAGCAGCCATGTTGGCGATAGTATTGAGATGGTTCATTTGATTCATGGCCATCGCTACAGAAGCAGGAGGCAGGCCAACCGGAAGAAGAGGATGGGGCATCATCATAAATGGCAGGTCTATCCCTGAAATACAAGAACAGCCGCCCGTAAATAATTTAAAAGCAGTGATTTCCCAGGGTTTTCACCCATAAAAGAGGGTGAAAGTTTAATGGAACAAGTCAATTAGGACTATAATTAGCTTGAAACATTTTCTACATTTTGCAGTTAAAATTTAGCTTCAAGACTAAGAAGAACAATAGATTTGTATTATACGTAGAAGAAAAATTGGGCAGATTTTTTGTTTTAAAATAGAAATAAACCTTAGGTGATTATAACCCCCCTATTGAAATTAGATATATAATTGAGGAGAATCAATAAAGACACTTCTTCTATCTAGCAATCCACAACAACAACAAAATTAACCCTGTTTGGGTTTTTTTTTGCCAAAGTATTCTGGTGTTTAAAATGTATAATAGAAATATTGTAATTGGCATCTTTAAAAAGACCCTTGTGATTTGACTTTACAACATAATATTGTAAAGATTCCATTTTAAGATTGATGGCTGGATGACTTGACTTCTGACAAGGAAAGCCAATCGGGAAATGCTTGATTCGCTTTAAAGACCACCCAATTTACTTAACAACTTCAGTGATTCGCTTAACAACAAGGGCAAAAAGGACTTGCTTAACGGTGGAAAATTCTGTTCTCAATCGTGCTCACAAGGGCTACTTATTTTTGGAAGACGATATGACGCCAGAACAGATGCTGGGAAAACCCTTATAGCTACATCTGCATGTATATTTATAAAATACACCAAGAGCTACTACATGTGATTGGTTTGGAAAGAAGGTGTGTTGTGATATCTCTTGTTTCACTCACTCCATCCAGCCCGCATCAACCGCTAATGGCAGTCTTTGTCCACTCATTAGCGCTTCCCCTGCAGTCTCGTAATCTTTCCCTTCTTTCACCGTAGAGTTTTAGTGCTTCCAGACACCATCTGTCTGAACAGGGTTGCTCATCTCGTTACAATCCGATTGACATGCAAACAACATGCAAATGACAAACAGAATGCAACAACCCTTCGTTGTTTTAAGGGACAATATCTCAAAGGTTTTACAAAGGGGTGGGTTGTGGGGAGGAGGAAAGGAAAGAGGAGAAAATGTGTCTGCCTTCTGCAGATCGGGCACAATTATTTCTTATTCAATGAACACTCCGAAGACGACTGAAGACAATTGAGATAGCGTCATCGGCAACAACAGCAGCAAAACGACATAGAGCAGGTTGGGCAGTGAAATAAAATATTTTAATGTGGACTTGGCAGGGACACCAACTGGTTTCTGCTGTGCGAGACCGTATGGAAGAGTCCACCGAACAGTTACGAGCAAGTATTTATGTACAGCATGTATGCATGCGTGACGCAGTGGTTAGAAGGCAGCATTGCAGGCTGACTTTGCTCACTGCCAGGAGTTCGATCCTGACCAGTTCAAGGTTGACTCGGCCTTCCATCCTTCCGAGGTCGGTAAAATGAGGAGACAGATTGTTGGTAGGAATATAATGACTCTGTAAACCACTTAAAGAGGGCTTTAAAGCACTGTGAAGCGGTATAAAAGTCTAAGTGCTATTGCTATTTCAACAAGGCTTTAGGCACATGAGCCATGGTGGCACAGTGGTTAGAATGCAGTATTTCAGGCTAACTCTGCCCACTGCCAGAAGTTCGAATCTCACCAGGCTCCAGGTTGACACAGCCTTCCATCCTTCCAAGGTGGGTAAAATGAGGACCCAGATTGTTGGGGCCAAGAGGCTGGCTCTGTAAAAAGCTTAGAGAGGGCTGTAAAAGCACTGTGAAGTGGTATTTAAGTCTAAGTGCTGTTGCTATTGTTTTCCTTTCCCTTCCTTCCTTCCTTCCTTCCTTCCTTCCTTCCTTCCTTCCCGCCCGCCGGCTAATTCTGCCCATTGCTAGCAGTTCGATCCTGACTGCTCAAGGTTGATTCAGCCTTCCATCCTTCCGAGGTGGGTCAAATGAGGACTCAGATTGTTGGGGGCAATAGGCTGACTCTGTAAACCCCTCAGAGAGTGCTGTAAAGCACAATGAAGTGGGATATAAGTTTTGCTATCTATTTCTTTATTAAACTCATATGCTGCCCATCTCACCTATGGCAACTCTAGGCAGCTTGTGCTCATTCAACAAAAACGCCACGTAAAACATTAAAACAATTTTTAAAAAACCAATTAACAGCCGTAATAAGAATTAAAGTTAGCTTTTATAGTGCAATGTGGCTAAAAGTTACAATGGCATTGAAGAATAGAGGCTTATGCAGGGGTGGGATTCTACCAGTGCGCACATATTTGCTAGAACCGGTTGTTAACATTCTAAGCAGTTCAGAGAACCGGTTGTTAGAAGAAATTATTGGCCTAATCCTGTAAGGAAGGCAGGAAGGAAACATTCTGGTGTTGCTTACAGAAACTGCCTCTCCGTTAACCCTTATTACATTCTTGGCAGGACTAGACTTCCTGTCTCAGGAACTTCTCTGGAGTTTTTTTTCCCCTCCTTTGCTGGTACTTTGCTTGTGTGGAGTGACCATTCAAAATTACAATGGCACTGAAAAAAGTGACTTATGACCGTTTTTCACACTTACGACTGTTGCAGCATCCCCACGGTCATGAGAGGCCAGGCGAGGAGATGCGTGCTTGATGTGGGTGATGTTGAGTTGGCCACGCCCAGCCAATAACATGACCACCAAGCCACATCCACCCAGTCACATGACAACCAAGCCATGCCCACAGAACTGTTTGTTAAAAATATTGAATCCCACCTCTGGGCTTATGACCGTTTTCACACTTATGACCGTTGCAACGTTCTCTTGGTCATGTAATCAAAATCTGGGTACTTAGCTACTGGCTCGTATTTATGACAGTTAAAAGCCTCCGTCGATGGAGCACCCACAACTTCTGAAGGCAAGCCATTCTACTGATTAATTGTTTTCATGGACAGAAAATTACTCTTTTATTCTAGGTTAGATCTGTCTTTGATAAGTTACCATTAGCATATTGCACCAAAAAATACCTAAATTCTATGCAGGGGGAAGAGGATTGAAGAAGAAGATTGAAAAATGGGATTGAAATGTTCTGGCTTTTAATGAGCTCATTGTCTCACAGAGATTATGACATCACTGGAGAACTCCCAGTTGTTGAATGGCAACATCTCAACGGTGCCATTAATGCAACATGCTTAACTGGTCCATGAATTAACCAATTTGTTGGATTAGCACAATACATTAACTACCAAATAGTTCTGAGATAACCAAATGGGTTGCATTAACAACGCGTGGTAAGCAACACCCTTCCCCAAAGTTTAACATGAATCAGTGATAACCAGCATAAAGACAGCTACTAAGAAGATACTCAAAAGATGCTTCAGGCAATCTTAGTACATCCTGAGGTAAACGACATGTGTCGCACTCCACAAACCAAGTGCTAAACAAAATTAGGACTTAGAGTCCCTTCCTTGCCCTGCCTGAAATCTTTCGGGAAAAGAATATTTGAAAAAAAAAGGCGGGGTTTATGTTTAAAAAGTAGGTGCTTGGCTGTCTCCTATTTCCAAATATACCATCTCTATTAAAATTCATCGGGCCCATTCAATTCTAGAAGCAATTCAACTCCTCAATTCACCAGGCCCCTTCATTTCTAGAAGCCATCAATTTACCAGTCCACACTTCGGCAAGAAAAGCGTGGGAAGAAAATATATGCAACTCATGAATAGTTTTTATTTATTTTTAATCTACCTTTCTTACACTTAGAAACAGCTCAAGGTGGATAACATAACTCCTACTTCCTTTTCTTATTATGCCCACACCGGCAACCCTCTGAAGTGGGCTGGGATGAGAGAGATTGCCTGGCCCAAAGTCACCTAGTTGGCTTACATGCCTAAAGTAGGACTAGAAATCAGAGTCTTCTAGTGATTGGCCCAAAGTCACTCACACGGACTTCCTACCTTTGCTTGACTAGAACTCCTCATCTCCTGGTGACTGGCCCGAAGTTGTCCAACCAGCTTTCATACCTAAGGCAGGACTAGAACTCACTGTCTCCTGGTTTCTAGCCTTGCGCCTTAATCACTAAATCAGGGGTGTTAAACTCAAGGCCCATAGATCGTATCTGGCCTATGGGGCTGGAAACACCTCCCCCCTTCAATTGACCTCTGTTTTTGTCGGCAGAGGGCTAGCAAAACAAACTAAAAACAAAACCAAAGGAGAAATGCTTCCCCCTTTGCATTTGAGCATGCAAGAAAGGACAGGAAAGGAGAAAGGGAAAGAGGAAGCAAAAGAAAGAAAGATGGGGAGAGAGCAAGGAAGGAAAAAAGAAGGAAAGAGGGGAAGGAAGAAGAAAGAAAGAAGAAAGGAAGGAAGAAAAAGGAAGGAAGGAGGGGAAATATGAAAGGAAGGGAAAAAGGAAGGAAGGAAGGAAGGAAGGAAGGAAGGAAGGAAGGAAGGAAGGAAGGAAGGAAGGAAGGAAAGGGAAGGAAGGAAGGAAGGAAGGAAGATTATAATGAGACGGAAGGAGGGTCTGAGAGAAGTCCTGCCTTAGCACTTGGCCACCACAGGTGCCCCCGACACAGCTGACATTGAGCTGGCCACGCCCACCCTGGCCACACACACCCCGAGGTCAAACACAATCCTGATGCGGCCCTCAATGAAATCAAGTTTGACACCCCTATCCTAGACTATACTGTTCCACTTGCAGCTTTCTTCACATATCTTGTTTAAGGTGGGGCAAGCCACAGTTCTGCCTCCCCCAATAGGTGAAGAAATATATAGTACTCGGGTTAATTTGGGCACCTGGCAGATGATGCCCTAAGTCCCTCTTCCTTTTCTTGGCGGTGAAATAAGAAACGGCAGCTAAGGAGGGTGTCTCCCTCCGCTTAACGGCAAGGCCGGTGCGGGGACATTTCTGAACACGCCAAGATGCTGGGATGTTTGTGTTTCCGTACGTACTGTTTGTGAGCAGATGGTTCTGCTGCAGAGGACTTAGGGGATGAGCGCTCGCCAAATTGGCCTGCCCTGACAGCGCCGCGTGGCTGATCCCGTGATGGGATCCCGTCGGGATCGGCGACTGAAGCTTCTCTTTATCCCACGAGGATTCACTTCCACCTAAAACAAAAACAGCACACAGAACATTGATTGTTCCCCGCTTTTAAAGATAGTTTGTCAAACCTGCCTCAACTTACATCATTAAATCGAAACAATCAGGGCTGGGCTTCAAAAATTTTAGCAACCAAAAATTTTAGCAACTCTGCCCGGTTGCTGAGCAGGCGTGGTCATGGTGGGTGTGGCCTAGTTGGCCTCCTGCACTACAGCAGGGGGGAGGGGCATTTTCGCCCTCTCCGGGCTCTGGAGGTTTTCCTTGAGCCTCCGGGAGGATGAAAACGGCCTCCCAGGGCTACGGAGGCTCTCTGGAAGTTTGAAAAGGACCAATTTCCAGCCTTCCCAAACTTCTAGGAGGCCTGTTTTTCACAGGTAAGTGCAGGGCGTGCACAGAGGCTCAGGGAAGGCAAAAAACGGGCCTCCCAGAAGTTCGGAAAGGCCAGAAATGGGCCTGTTTCTGGCTTCCAGAGAGCCTCCGGAGCCTGGGGAGAGCAAAAATGGCCCTCGTCGTGGTGCAGGAGGCCGACTAGGTCATACCCACCATGGCCACGCCTGCTCAGCAACCGGGCAGAGAACCCGTTGCTAAAATCTCAACCTGGACAACTTTAGTCTGGCATAGCATAGCTGGTTAGGGAATTCTGGGAGCTGAAGTCCATTGCATTTTCAAATTATCAAGATTGAGAAATACTGGTTTAAACCCTATGCCGTTTTTTTCTATACATATAAATCAAATTACTTTTAGGAGATTTCTGCTGCTGATCCTTCTTTTCAATAACATGATTCCATTATTTTAGGAATTGGTAAAATGAAAGTATGGTTGGCATAGCATAGCTGGCGAGAGAATTCTGGGAACTGAAATCCACGCATTTTCAAATTGAGATGTACTTGTTTAAACCCTATCCCATTTTTTAAAATTTTTTTTGCATATAAACAAAATCACTCTTAGGAGATTTCTACTCTAAGGAATGTCTTTCTCTCTTCCTGCTCCTTCCATTATTTTGGGAATTGTTAAAAGGAAAGTATGGTTGGCATAGCATAGCTGGCTAAAGAATTCTGGGAACTGAAGTCTATGCATCTTCAAATTGAGATGTACTTGTTTAAACCCTATCCCATTTTTATTTTTATTTTTACTTTTTGCACATAAACCAAATCACTCTTAGGAGATTTCTTGTGATGACCCAGGGTGGGATACAAAACAAACACAGTCACAGAAAACAGGTGAAGCCCCTTTTATTCCTTCACTTTGCTTCCAAGCTCCGAATTGACGGAAGACAAAAAACTCCCACACAAACAGTTACAAGAGGAAGGCAAAAACCAATACAAATCAGGCAGGATAAGGGCTTGAGGACATCCCAGATAACAGAACACATACTGGAGAGGACGTCAAACTCAAAGAGGAACCATAAACTAGAGATATTTCCACGCTTTGTTTCCAGCATTCGCTCACAAGCAGGTCTGTCCTCTCATTCAGTTGTCGCAGCTACAGCCCTTCCCCAGCCTCCTCCACAACCTCTGGAGCCACACTTCCACTCCCTGTCAGCTGTTCCTCCTCTCTCTCTGAGTCAGTCTCCAACAGGGGCATGACATTTCTACTCTAAGCAATGTCTTTCTCTCTTCCTGCCCCTTCCATTTTTTTGCGAAGTGGTAAAAAGAAGGTATGGTTGAGAGAGTCTGTCTGGATTATTGACAATGCCAGGAATTCATTAACTTGATTTCCAATTAGAAACCATAATATTTCATTGACATGGAAGAGACAGTGGAAGGGGGAAAAATGTATCTTAATTGAAGATAACGGCAGAGAAGCGTTCTACATTCTTTATGATGAACCCTTGGCTAATAAATATGATTCATGTTATCAAACAGTAAAATCCGAAAGATCAATGATGGAGCCCCAAAAAGGAAAATGCTCCATCATTTTTATGCTCACAGCCAAGCTATGAATTATCTTTACTAGTGCAAATGTGTAATTTGCAAAAACGATGAGCTTTCTTTGCATAGGCAAAGAAAGATGCGTTTATGCCAAGTTAAATTATATCGTATGTTCTAATATAATGTGGCGTAATTGCAGTGAAGTTCAATGGTATGGCTGTATTTGTGTCAGGTGGGGCATCATAAATTCCCACACTTTACAAGGATGACCTCAAATCCATATTGACTGAAAGGGGGTGCAATTCAGACCTTGTCTCTAGCTATATCTTCTAGAAATGACAGCAATCCAGAACGTAGAGCTGTAAGAGGTCACGACGTACCGAGCAGCTCTGAAAAAGTCAAAATTAATTAGCTTGGAAACTGGTCTTCTTTAACAGTTTAATTCCCACCTATGTTTCCACATTTGGGTATGAGAAGAGCTAACCCTTCTCTCATTTCAATTAAAAAAATACTCCCCAAATAAGAAAGACATCGTAGGAGATTATTGCTTCATGGAGTGCAGTATCTAAATCAGTGCTTGCCAATAGTGGCAATGTCAATCCTGAAGCTTTCCCTGACTGGAGTCATGTTGGAGCTTCAGTGTTGCCAGTGTCATGCCCTTGGTGGAGACTGACTCTGAGGAAGAGGAGGAACAGCTGACATGGAGTGAAAGTGTGGCTCCGGAGGTTATGGAGGAGGCTGGGAAAGGCCAGAGGCTGGCTGGACAGTCAAAGAGGATACAGACCCATCCCCTCTCCATCCTAAGGCACGCAGGGAGGAGAGGATAAGGGAGAGACATGGTCTACTGGGGAGGAGAGGGCCTTGATCCTCTTCATGGGCTGCAGCTGTGTCAACTGGATAAGAGGATGGACATGCGTATGGGCGAGTGCTGGAAACAAAGCATGGAAATATCTCTAGTTTGTTGTTCCTCTCTGTGTTTGGCGTCCTTCCCAGTGTGTGTTCTGATATCCGTGGATGGCTTCAAGTCCTTATCTTGCCTGGTTTGTGTTGTTTTTTTATTCTTTATAATTTAAACAGCATTTTCTCCTTCTTGTAACTACTTGTGTGAGAGTTTTTTTTGTCTCCAGTCAAGGATATTTGGAGCTTGGAAGCAAAGTGAAGGAATAAAAGGGGCTTCACTTATTTTTTTGTGACTGTGTTTATTTTGTATCCCACCCTGGGTCCTCACAGACACACTGGAGCTGAGGGGAAAGGGAGGGGGGGATTAGAGATAGAGAAGTTTGTATAGCCAAAACAAAATATTTTCTCTTGAGAACCAAGGGGTCAACTCATAAAATATTTCTGTGGTGTTTTAGAGATGCCAACAGAAAGGGAGGGGGAAGCAGTGGGCAGCTTGCATTCCATAAATGTTTCAAAGATAGTTTCTAGGTGACCAGGTAGCGCCGGCCTGTTTATTCCTAATAAATCTTCTGTACGAAAATCTGGCTAGAGACTCATGATTTAAATTGGGGTAACTACTGGAGCTCTGACTGAAGGATATTCTCACACCTGGACCATGGAAGGAGCGAGGTCACCAGATGACCAGACAGCTTCTTGATTGGACCATGTGACTGATTGTTTGGGTTTGTGGGAAAACTTTCTTTTTTAATTAGGTGAAAACCGTGGGAATTTTCAGAGTCGGTTTTCACCAGCTCTGTGCCAATATGATACTTCCAATAAAGCTATTCTTTGAGGAATTCCCCTGCCTCAGAGTTTTGCTTGCTATGAGACTATTAACTTGGAACCCTGACAGGTAACATTTAAGAGTATGGACTTCAGTTCCCAGAATTTGCCAGGTTGCCTGTGGAATTCTGGGATTTGAGGTCCACATTCCTAGTAATTCCTAAGGTTGGGAGTTCTAGATGCATGTCTTGAGACTTCTAAAGATGCACTTTCAAGAGAAAATCCTTTGGATTTCTGCTTGAATACTGTACACTCTCATATGGAAAGACAGTTTGGTCTAGTGGTTTCAGGCACCAGGCTAGCAAATGGGAAGCTTTGGGTTTTAGTCTTGCTTTAGCCATGAAATCTGGCTGGGCCAGGCACTGTCTCTCAGCCCAACCCACCTCACAGGGTTGTTGTTCTGGGGTTAAGAGGAGGAAGATGTATGTGATGACCCAGGGGCGTGGCACGAAGGCAACACAGTCAGATAATCAATAAGAGTCCCTTTATTATCTCCAACTTTGCCCCCAATGTCCTGGTTACCTTCTGGCTGGAGAAAAACTCTCCCAGGAACAGCCTTTGGCTGCAGAGATTCCAGTCCAAAATATGGTCAACAAAAACTGTAACTTAAAGTCCAAACAAGCCAAACTGAGGTAATTAGTTTGGCAGGGCAGGAGCAAGAATTTCAGACTTGAAAGCATGGCAAAACTCACACAGTTGCGAAGACGCCAAGAACACAGATAAGCCATGACAATACAAGATAAAGTCACTTTTGCTCCCAACAGCCTGCAGCACACAGCTTGCCTTTTTTATAAACTGTGTTCCCAGCTGTGGCTAATGAAGGGAATCAGGGCCCTTTCCTCCCCATAAGCCACACAACCCACCTTGCTGTCCCTGCGTGCCCTAGGATGAAGAGGGGTTGGGCCTGGGTTTTCCTCTGAACTCCCTCTCCCTTGTTCTACCCCTCCCCTGCTCTGCCCAGCCAGACTTTGCCCTTCCCCAGTTTCCTCCACAGCCAACGGAGCCACATTCCCATTCCCTGTCATCTGTTCATCTTCCTCCTCGGATTCAGACTCCGACAGGGGCATGAAAATATGTTATATATGTTCGCTACATTGAGTTATTTGTAAAAATAACCAAGGCGGGATACAAGAAAAAAAAAACCATACATACATACTCTACGTCAGTGGCCCCCAACCTTTTGAGTAACAGGGATTGGTTCTATGGAAAGGTTTTTCTGCTTTAATGGATCTAAATCTTGGGTTGCTTTAGCATTGCTTGTAAAATGTATTTATTTATTTAGCCTATGGCGACATTACCTTAGCCAGAAGACTACAATGCTAATGCCGAGTAGTTAGCTGCCTAAGATTGCTAGCCCTGTTTGGTTCATGCTCGCACGCTTTCCAAGATGTGCCGGGAGGTGGTGGTGTGCGAGC